TGTTTACATGAAGGTTTTTTAGTCCGATTGAGCCGTCAATCCAATTATAAGGGTCCATGTAAAGACGCGCAAATACCTGTGTGTGCCAGGCACGTGTGCGCGCTCCGAGCGCGTGTTCTCCACCACGGGGAACATCGTCAATAAAAAGAGAGCCGCATCCAGATCAAGTTGATAAATTGGTGTTTCTAGCAAACAATATTAAGAAATTAATTAGGCTAGGCTATATAGGCCTTACTCCTGCTGCTGTTTAAGTTGTCACGTTATTGTTTGTGCCGTGCTGTTCCGCTTCAGTTTTTTCCCATATGTAGCCTAATTTTGTGATTGGCTATGCATAGTGGCACTTCATATAGATTAAGTTGATAACTTGCTGTTTAAAACATTAAGTAAAAAAAAAAAAGTTCAGACAGGCCTGAGTCCTGTTTATGACTGTCAGACTGTTAATAAATGTGTGATCTCCGTTACGGTGTTTTTTTTTTTTTTGGTGGGGGTGGGGGGTGCTCGTAGATGTTCGAATATATTCGAATACATTGCTTGATATTCGATATCCGTTCGAATTAGATTTTTCTCAAAAGTGACAGCCCTACTCTGCACCATGCTCTAGGTACAACCTGTTTTTCCCATGCCACTTTTATCAATTTCCACAGAATTCGCAGAACTCCTGAAGCACTCTTGTACACTCTGTACGGAACTCCATTAGGCCCTGGAGATGATGAAGCCCTTGCCTTTCTCACAGTCTGCTCTACCTCTTTCCACTTAGGTGCACAGACCTCCATTTGGTATTCTGGTGGGTTGATAGGTGGTATGTCTGATGGAATTGACATAGGCTCATGCCTTTTTGCATCTGTATGCGTGTCCTCCAAATATCTCTCTAGCTCAATCCTAGATGTTTTTAAAGTGCCATTCTTCTCACTGGTGAATAACTTCTTTACGAATTTGAATGGGTCTTTATAGAAATTAGCCCTCGCACGTTCCTTCTTTTTGTAGCGTTTCCGTAGGCGCTCAGCTCTACGTAATGTTGCCAGCTTATCTTTTATGGCCCTTTGTAAGAGATTGAGTCCCTCCTTCTGACTTTGTTCTGCTCTTTTCCATTGCTTCCTCAGCTGTCTCCTTTCTCTAACTAACCCTTCAATTTTCTGCTGCCGTCTAGACATTCCAGGAGTAGTTTGTACTTTTTCCTTCCTTTTTTCCACACCAAACCTCTCACTTCCATATGCGTAAATGATGTCCCCAAAATTATCCAGCTTCTTTTCAACTCTACCAGTTAATCTTTCCAATGCAAAGCATAGATCTGTGTTTACCGTGTCCCATGCAGTTTTCTCACAAGCTCTTGGCCATCTAACTCCAGGCCTATGCCCGTTGAGGTTCTTTTCTCTCTTATGCTGGTTAGCCTGACCGGGTTCACAAGTATGAATATGTTCATCACTAACTGTGCAAGCCCTCCTTTCGTCAATGACAGGGGTGCTGATATCCTGCGAGCTGTGGTTTGCTTCCTGTCGCTGGATTTCATTCGACTGACTTGACTGACTTCGTAAGAAGTACTGATCAATGCGAGGCCCTTGTCCCTTCTCCCTCAAGCATTTCATTTTCCCTTGATGAACCTTCAAACCCCTGACCGTTGTCGCCTTGCTCCAGCCACAGACACAAACTTGGAGTTCAATGACTTTACTAACTGCAGATTTTGAACTAGTCTTACTCTCCATACTCATATCCGTTTCCATTCCTAAGTCGTTAACCATGTTGTCCAACATTGAGTCATCTTCCGCCCCCGCTCTCGCAGACTCTAGGGGTATTTTTCTCTTTAATTTCTCAGAAGCCTTGGGCGGGTGTCTCCAGCATCCTGTAAACACGGAGCTGGATACTGCCGACAAGGGTAGCTAACCCTTACCAGCCCCATTGGGGTCTCTTTCCTCCTGTCAGCTGTCTCTCCAGGCTGTCACAAGGTCTTTCCCTTGTTGCCAGCAGCACTATTCACCGCAGTCACTGAATGTATCCAGATCTTCATGATTTCCATTACACGAGAGTAGATGTTAAAACTTAATACTGATTTGTACTCGGCTTTCGCCAAGATAAGCAAAACTAAGACGTAGCTTTACGGTAAACTATGCTTCTCCATCTATTTACGCTTCTTTCCATATGGTGGTGTGACCCCCCTTCTGTCCGGTGTTAACGGCTGCAGTGTATTTGGCGCGTCAGCACACGCGACGGCTGCAACTACAGGACCAGCACGACAACCGTCTGGATTGAGCCGAGTAGGGGACATCTCTAGGGTCTTCAAGTGGGCACCTTCCGTCCTCAGTGTTTCGTCGACTAGCCCACGACACCTCAAGAGGGCTCGACAGTGACTCTGGCGTCCCAGTAAATACACAAAACAAAACAAAAATGTCTCTGCTGAAGCTCGTCAGGCCAAACGTGAATCGGATCGACTTAGGACGAAAAAACGATCAACATCGGGAGAGCGTTTGAATTATGGAGAGACCTCCGCTATTTTTACGGTGATAAATTACAAGTTTTCAGATATGCTGAAATAAATAATGGTAAACTGTAATGAAATAGCAAGGTAAACTACAACATATATGAGACATGAAATGAATACAAAAGACTGTTCCAGGATAACAAAAAGTAGGTGCTTTAGGATGTAACTTTTATTTTATGTACTAGATCTACTGTCTAACGTCACTCATCCCACTACTATCATATTGTTTATAATACACATTTCCAGACACGTTCAGTACAGTAATGTTACTTCCTACGATCTTACTGTTACACTGACATTGTTCAGTCTAGTCACTAACCGTTTTCGTTATCATATTATACATTCATCTATGTTGACACTGCTGATTGTGAAAGACACACGAATAGTTAGTGAAATGCCTTATGCTAGATAACACCACAAATGTTACGTTATCATGGTACGAGCATGGAGTATTAGTTCAACGTCAAGCTGATAAAAGTAGCCTATTATTGTAACGTTGCAGTGGGAGTTTACATGAGTTTCCAGCATCTTCAGCAGCTCTTTTGTTCGAGCACGCACAAGAGCACGAGTGCTCTTGTAAAAATTGGTTGCAATCTGAAACATCACCGATAGAGGCCTCTAAAAATACATATAGCCCCTTTAATCATTTTCATTGAACATATAGGAGGCATTTGTGAAACAATAGCAACAATAGTCTATCAAATATCATTCATATTACAAACAACTTGTTTTTAGTCCCGCTGTTTAGAGGTGATGCATTGAGAACATATTGAAGACTTTATTGGATTGAAATCACTCTCTGCACATTGTGTAAATGTGAGAAATAAAAATAACCAAAAACTTGTGATTTATTTAACTAAATAGATTTAATTTAGCTTACAATAGCTCAAGAGGTTTAACATTGTATTCAGCATTGTTAATGAACCAGTAGTAGTAAACAATTATTCTTTTGACTAAAAATGGCACCAGTTGTTTTTTATGTATATTTGAAGAGGCGATTCCTCTCATAATATGAACTCGACAAACACATCACTGAGAGAAGATGAAATTGCTTGAATGTGTTCTGTGTCAGTGATCATTCAGCAGTGAAACACTTGTTTTCCTGCTGCTAGTTATGAAATAAGGTTTACGGTCATCTAGGCTCTTACATTATATGGTTATATGCTATATTTTGACAAACAATTTAGTCCAAAAAAGTAATTAACTTGTTTTGAGCTTGAGTTATAACTTGTATAGTCCAGAAGTCCATAACTATAATGTATGGCGGAATAATAGCAAATGCTTGGGAGCACTTCGACTCGGCGCAGGATTATCATCATATCATCACTCCGGAGAGGGAGAGGATTTTTCAGGAGTGATGATATGATGATAATCCTGCGCCGAGTCGGAGTGCTCCCAAGCATTTGCTATTATTCCGCCATACATTATAGTTATCCACTTTACACTCTTAGAAAAGCGCAACGTTTTATTTTGTGTCACCATTCTTGGTCGAGTTGCACTACTTGTGTAACTGTATTTAAATAGGGAAACGTGGAGGTGTTTGGTCGCTTCTCTGCTTGGATCCTAATGAATGAACTGGGCTAAGCTAAGTGCTATCAAAGTGTCTCGCGCGCCAGAGCGATTGAGTGTACGCACTGAGACGAGAGAGGTATGCATCAACTCCTCTTAGTTAAGGGAATAACAGTTTAATATGAAAAAACGGTGGAGTATCCCTTTAAAGCGGAATTGTCATGCGCCAAGCAAATCCTCGCTGGTTAAAACATTAAAACAGCATGCTACTGGAAAAGTGTTCAAAAGCAGCGCATCCACTACAAATATTTCTATTTAAATTAATAATGAATAAATAATTAATTTAATAATTAATACATATTTTTATAAATACCAAATGTGTCCGTACGGTGTGCACATTTACGCCTAGTTTATTTTTTATAAATCACGATATGTGCGTGGAAAATTGCAGCGTTTATACATCTGGCCCCGGGACTTAGATGAAATATGAGATATTCTCATGAAAATGTTGCCAAGTTATTACTCATTATAACATTATAACTCATTCATTACATGTTGCCACAAGAACACATTAATATGCAAATTAAATAAATTGTATAGAATGGGACTACCCGTTTATGGTGATTTTACACATTGCATAAAGTAAAATAGTTTTTCAAATCATACTCTGTTATAAAAATGTATTGGTAAATGAAAAAAGAATGCCTATACATGTCTAATGTCATTTTATTTTCTTAATAACTGAGTCCTGGTGTACAGACAAAATATGAATAAACTATCTTTAAAAAAAATCTCCATTTGTTTCTTATGCTCCAAATAATCTACTGACAAAATAAACAACTAAAAAAACTAAAAAGTTCTGGTTCTCTGGAGGATATAACAATACATTTAAAACTAGATACTAATAGACTTGGTAGTAAACTAGATTTGTGCTAAATTAAGAATGAACGTTATCTCTTCTTCTCATTTGTCCTTTTTTTAATTGAATTATGGGAATTTAATGTTGTTTTTAGACCCGATGGAAGTGAATGAAGACAAACAGCAACAATTTCAAAAACCTCCTAATTTCACAAATGAAGATGGAAATGCAGTTGTTTCACAGACTGAAGAGAATTTCATACAGAAACAAGCTGGAAAATCTGGAGTCTCATTTTTATCCTGCTCTGAGTGTGGAATGTTTTACGTGCACAAATCAGACCTTAATAAACACATGAAATCTCACACTGGAGAAAATCTGTTCACATGCACTCAGTGTGGAAAGAGTTTCACACGTAAATCAACCCTTAACAGACACACGAGAGAACACACTGGAGAAAGGCCTTATACATGCTCTCAGTGTGGAAAGAGTTTCGTTCATAAAGGACACCTTAAAGGGGGGGTGAAACACTCAGTTTCACTCAATCTCATGTTCATCTTGAGTACCTATAGAGTAGTATTGCATCCTTCATATCTCCAAAAAGTCTTTAGTTTTATTATATTTATAAAAGAAAGATAGGCTGTACCGAGTCTTTCCGGAAAAACCCGAGCGGGTGGAGGCGTGCCGTGTGGGCGGAGCTAAATAATCACGACACGAGCGCGCGAAGCTTTTGCGTTGAGAGCGTCTGGAAGCTGTGATTGACATCCGAAAATAAACCATGGCTAACAATCAGATAGTAATCCCATGCAGAACAAGGATCTAAACAATACTAAGGGCTCGTTCATACAGAACGCGTTTTTGCTCACAAAAACGTGAGATGGGCAGCCAGTGAAATGGGTGAAAACCATAAGGTCTTGAGCGTTTTTTAAAAAAATAGAAATGATTTGAACTTGAGCGCAGTGTTTTTAGAACACCATGTCATGCGCGAGTTTTACAACATTTGTGTGTTGTAAACAGACAGACTCGTGGTTTATGAGGACATGATTTATTTTTACAATAAACAAACTGACACCTACAGTGGCCAGCTAAACAAATGTATTTAAACACACACACACCATACATCGCATGCTCCATAGATATTCATTAACTGTATGTGATCATGTTGTTTACTTGCTGTGCTTACACGCCGATAGTTAACAACTCACAGACATTTGAAGCAGTTTTACTCACCGCCTGCGGTTCCAACGCACGACCGTGAACCTTTATCGTTGGGACTGCTCCATCTTTAAGTATTAGGCGATCTGCAAATCCGGCGTTGAACTGGGCCTTGTTTATAAAACTATTACCGTCGAAATGAAGGGAACAAACAAAAACACTTGCACAACTCCGTTGCTGCTCTGGAAAAACAAAATCCATCCACAGGTCCCTTAACGCTGGGTTCTTTGGAAATTTGTGCAGTGTTGTCTTGCCCTGGCACCCAAAAACACACTTTTTTGGTGCCATTTTTTAATTGCAGCGCAGCGGAGCCCAGCGCTCTGATGGCCATAGGCGTACTCTCGCACGCACTAGGCTACAGATGCGCGCGCGCCCTTCCGGGAGAAGTCCCCTTAAGACCCGTATAAGGAAATTCCGGCCACTCTGACGTCACACACACCCGTATTCGAAAAAAACTTTCCGAAACTTGTGACAACCCGGAAGGAGTATTTTTGGAACAGAATTACTCCATCAAACTTACAACTTCATTTTTGAAACTTTGTCCATGTTTAGCATGGGAATCCAACTCTTTAACAGTGTAAAAAACTCACTATGCATGAAACAGCATTTCACCCCCCCTTTAAGATACACATGAGAGTTCACACTGGAGAAAAACCGTTCACATGCTCTCAGTGTGGAAAGAGTTTCAGTCGCAAAGTTCACCTAAATGGTCACATGTGGATTCACACTGGAGAAAGGCCTTATACATGCTCTCAGTGTGGAAAGAGTTTCAGTCAAAAAAGAAACCTAGAAGATCACATGAGGATTCACACTGGAGAAAAACCGTTCTCATGCTCTCAGTGTGGAAAGAGTTTTGTTTACAAAAACATTCTCAAAGAGCATCTGCTCTCTCACTCTGGAGGGAAGCCATTCAGCTGTGATCAGTGTGAGAAAACATTTGTTTATTTATCTAGCTTAAAAAAACACCTTAAAGTTCACACTGGTGTGAAGCCTCACGTTTGTTCTGTATGTGAAAAGAGTTTTTCGCGACTGGCGACTTTAAAAGTGCATGAGAGTATTCATACTGGTGTAAGACCTCATTTGTGCTCTGACTGTGGGAAGGCCTTTATTACATCAGGTGCATTAAAACAACACCAAAGAAATCACACTGGAGAGAAACCGCAGTGCTCTTCATGTGGGAAGAGTTTCACCCAATTATCTACTCTACAGAAACATAAGAAAAAGCATTGCCCGAAGGTGTCTAAGTGAGCAAAGTTCAGATTCATGACTTGTAAATAATTTGATATTCAGATCAAGCAAAAGGTGGAATTACGTTTTAATAGAGTCATTTAAAATTAGTATTGAAGTTTGATTGTTTGACAAGGGGAACCTTTAAGGAAGGTCAAAATGGTTGTGTATTGGATTCTAAAGGCCGGTTCACACCAAGGACGATAACTATAATGATAAAGATATAGTTCTAAAAATCTTTCTCATGTGATCGCAACAATGTGAAAATACTCCTGTGGGTGTCATCGCTTAAGCACTGCATGGTCATCTCATATCTCAGACAGCACCAACAGATCCAGATCCAGGGACATACTACACCTGCAGCAACTACAACAGAGCCTGCCGCTCCAAAATCTGCAAACCAACCACAGAGACTCCTTGACGCATATTCCAGACGGATGCTAACAATGGTCATCTCAGACAGATGGAACAAAAATAATAATTCAGAAAACTGTTTTGCCATAAAACGCTATGATTTATGAAAGAATGTGTTTTGTTTCTTTGTGTAGTTTAAAGGAGAACTCCGGCGCAAAATTTACCTTTGGTCTAATAAAACATTGGTACCTAGTCAACCGTTCTCTGAGATTTGTTTTCATGATAATCGAATGTAAAGAGTTTTATCTCTAAAAACTGTTTAGCGTATAACGCTAGTAATGGGGGCATATAATCATTAAAAAGAAATCGCTAGTTTATACCACTAACAATGCCCCCATTACTAGCGTTATACGCTAAACAGTTTTTAGAGATAAAACTCTTTACATTCGATTATCATGAAAACAAATCTCAGAGAACGGTTGACTAGGTACCAATGTTTTATTAGACCAAAGGTTCATTTTGCGCCGGAGTTCTCCTTTAAAGGTGCTATATGTAACTTTTCTTCTAAAATGAATCCTTTTTTTATTGCCTGTGTGTGAAGGGGTTGTAATCACACATTACAATGATCCACTTGTCGGGTTCTGCTATTCCCTCTGAAGGCCAGTATTCCTATTTCTGTGTGAAGGCTCCGGGTCGGATTTTCTGCGGAATCCTTTGGATGTGACGTGCATGCGCGCTCCCGAGCCTCTCTCCTTTTTTTTTTTTTTTTACTTGTTTTTATTGAGATCAAAAAGTGCAATTCACAACATACAAATGCAATATCCTGGATGTTACAATATACATAGATACATCCCTATGTCTATACATCCCTATACATCCCTATGTCCCTAAAGCCTTTATATAGTCCATAGAGAAAAAGGAAATGGATAGATATAGCCAGCATAAGCTTCACAGTATAGACAAGGTGTATGTACATTTAACATAGGTATCATGGAATATACATTTGGATGGGGGACCACTGGTCCATAAATAAATCCGTTTTCATCTGCAATGTTGCTGTAATTTGTTCCATATAGCAGGGTTCTACGCTAAGGTTTTTCCCAAGGAGCACATGTGCTCCTAAATGAAAAAATGTAGGAGCACACAAAGAAATTTTGGAGCGCAGTGAAAAACAGTAACAAGTAATAAACTATTTATTATATATACACTACGTGTGTGCTCCTTCTCTTTGTGTTCAACTATAGTGTGAAACCGTTGATTTGATGCAGAAGTATAAATCACACTTTACAATCACTTTAGTAAAACAGAACAAGGGGAACGTGTTGCTCTCAGGAGGAGGCTAGGAGCACATTGGCACACCTGTGCAGTGGACATCTGCATCTTTCCACTGCAGAGGCTCTTTCCACAACATGGAGGAGAAACTAGTTTAGAGTGTATTAGTATTTACTAGTATTAGTATCTACTGTAGATTTAGTCGACTAAAATCTTATTGTATTTCGTCGACTAAAACTAACACAATTCAGATGACTAAAATATGATGGGTTTAGTTCAATTGTAATGCATTAATTTAGAATTTCTCTAAAATGTCCAAACCCATATACTCCCAGAGAAAACATCTATTAACCTGTTAATATGAATGATTGTAAAGTTTGAACATGCAATACAGATACAGATTTAACTACTGTGACTTAAAAAAATATCTTAAAATTAAATAAAACCACTTTTCCTAAAGTAGAATAGTCTTCTTTTCAATGAATGTTCAAGTAACGAGCAGTGAATGCTATTATTTTTTTCTTTTGTTGCTTGATGACACAGACCGCATTAGGTTTATTACCCACTGTCACTTTAAGACATCGGATCATGTCCAGTGACTTGCGGATCCAATTGCACTGATGCACATCCGACACACTCAAAACTGTTTAAGACATAACCAACATAGTTTACGTGAATACTCTCCAAAATGGACATTACGACATAATGTTGTGTGTATTAGTCCATTCAGACACGAAAGAGAGCTCAGTTCAGTCCTCGCGCGCTGTGTGTGTGTGTGTGCAATTGTGCATGGCTGCGCGCTTCGGGTCGGGTGTGTGCGCAGAACACCGAACCAAATAGAGCTCTTTTTTTTGCGTCGTCACTCTTATTCAGATCTATGTGTCTGCTCTACTAATTCTCCCAGACATTTACATTTTTTAACGTTTGATGAGATGCAGCGCATGTCAACCCGTGTGCCGCTGTGTAGATCAGCACGTTACAGTACAAATATGCGCATCTACCACAAACGCAGGACATCAGTTCTTACTGGATCGTCACTATCTAACATTTTTGTCTATTTTTCTTTATTTGTTGACGAAAATGTCAATAGATTTTCGTCATAGTTTTTGTCAATCAAAACTAGTTTTTATTTAGTTATCGTCTTGTTTTCGATTATGGTAGGTAGTTACTCGCACACTGTGCTCGTAAATCTTTTTTCCGGTTCGCACGTATCGATTTTTAGGGGTATATGCGAGCAAAATGGTCGCACTGTAGAGCCCTGTATAGTACACTTCCTTCACCTTATTCTTCCATTGAGAGATTGTGGGGGGGCTGTGGTCTGTAATCTACAGTCAGGAGACTGTAATCTTTTTTTTTTTTTTTTTTGCAAGTACAAGCAGGATTTTCAAGAGATGAATATGATAATTAGTCCTGATTTTGTTCTCAAAAATTCCCAGAATAATAAAGGATGGGTCCAGTGGAATCTTAATACTCAAACACTTAGCAATTTCATCTTGTATGTCTTTCCAATAGTTCAATAATTTTGGACAATCCCAAAATATATGAGTGTGATCTCCCACAAGACCACAGCCCCTCCAACATTTGTCTGAAGTCCAACCAAACTTAGATGTGATAAAAGGGGTCCTAAATAACCTTACTTTTGTTTTCCACTCAAATTCTCTCAACATTGGACTACTTGATATTTTATGCCCCTCTTGAAACATTTGTTCCCATTCCTCATTTGTAATTATTATATTCATTTCTAGTTCCCATTTCTCCTTTATAACTTTTTGTATCCTCAGCAGCTTCTCTTTGTAATATTTTATAAAAGTGAGAGATATACACTCACCTAAAGGATTATTAGGAACACCTGTTCAATTTCTCATTAATGCAATTATCTAATCACATGGCAGTTGCTTCAATGCATTTAGGGGTGTGGTCCTGGTCAAGACAATCTCCTGAACTCCAAACTGAATGTCAGAATGGGAAAGAAAGGTGATTTAAGCAATTTTGAGCGTGGCATGGTTGTTGGTGCCAGACGGGCCGGTCTGAGTATTTCACAATCTGCTCAGTTACTGGGATTTTCACGCACAACCATTTCTAGGGTTTACAAAGAATGGTGTAAAAAGGGAAAAACATCCAGTATGCGGCAGTCCTGTGGGCGAAAATGCCTTGTTGATGCTAGAGGTCAGAGGAGAATGGGCCGACTGATTCAAGCTGATAGAAGAGCAACTTTGACTGAAATAACCACTCGTTACAACCGAGGTATGCAGCAAAGCATTTGTGAAGCCACAACACGCACAACCTTGAGGCGGATGGGCTACAACAGCAGAAGACCCCACCGGGTACCACTCATCTCCACTACAAATAGGAAAAAGAGGCTACAATTTGCAAGAGCTCACCAAAATTGGACAGTTGAAGACTGGAAAAATGTTGCCTGGTCTGATGAGTCTCTATTTCTGTTGAGACATTCAGATGGTAGAGTCAGAATTTGGCGTAAACAGAATGAGAACATGGATCCATCATTCCTTGTTACCACTGTGCAGGCTGCTGGTGGTGGTGTAATGGTGTGGGGGATGTTTTCTTGGCACACTTTAGGCCCCTTAGTGCCAATTGGGCATCGATTAAATGCCACGGCCTACCTGAGCATTGTTTCTGACCATGTCCATCCCTTTATGGCCACCATGTACCCATCCTCTGATGGCTACTTCCAGCAGGATAATGCACCATGTCACAAAGCTCGAATCATTTCAAATTGGTTTCTTGAACATGACAGTGAGTTCACTGTACTAAAATGGCCCCCACAGTCACCAGATCTCAACCCAATAGAGCATCTTTGGATGTGGTGGAACGGGAGCTTCGTGCCCTGGATGTGCATCCCACAAATCTCCATCAACTGCAAGATGCTATCCTATCAATAGGGGCCAACATTTCTAAAGAATGCTTTCAGCACCTTGTTGAATCAATGCCACGTAGAATTAAGGCAGTTCTGAAGGCGAAGGGGGGTCAAACACAATATTAGTATGGTGTTCCTAATAATCCTTTAGGTGAGTGTATTTAGTAGTTATCGTCCCTTTTGTTACTGATAGAAAAAACTGCTCAATGTCAGAAGGTGGCTTTTGTAAAGTATGCCAGTCCTTATGTTTATGTAAATAGTGTCTCAATTGTAAATATTTGAACAGGTCCTGGTTTGGGAGGTCATACATATGTTGTAGCTGCTGGAAAGACACTAGACCTCCGTCCTCAAACATTTGACCCAACAGAATCAACCCTTTTTCCATCCATGTGTCTTGGTTCACAAATGGAAGAGTATCAAGAAATATATTTTGACAGTTCCCTTGTTCCATCTTGTACCAGATTGCCTCTTCATCCCGGCAAACCCAAGTGACCATTGATCTAAGTCGTGGGCAGCCCAGTAGTAGTTTTTTTGTTGTAACTTACATACCTATACTAGCCTACTCTCACATTGCTTGTCACTTATGTTTGCAAAGTCCGGTAATGAATGCCTACTTCTCCGCTACACTTTATTGTCTCTTTACATGAATGCCCGCATGTCTGCGACGCTCAGTGTTCCCTCTACTGCTTCTTCGGATGCTGTAGTCCAGGCGTTGCGCAAAAGCTCTTCTCGACAGTTCTCACGCTCGTCCACCTTGACGTGTATTCCCATCTCGCCCAGAGTCGCTGCCGCTCTCGAGAGAGTAGGGAACGTCTTCACTCCTGTGTCCAAATAAATCTTCAGCTGTGCAGGAAAGGGGCGACACAGCTCTCACATTCTTCTGTTTGAGTTGCTTAATAACTTCACGAAGCTGTTTACGT